CGTATCATTTGCCCCTCTTGTGGCTTGCGCGTTCCCCTTTTTTTTTTTTTTTTTTTTTTTTTTTTTTTTTTTTTCTTGTAGGAGAGTTTTTTTTTTTTTTTTTTTTTTTTTTTTTTTTTCTTTGCGCGGGGGCGATGCCAATCTTCTGTCTTCCTGTTTTTGTTTTTTTTTTGCTTCTTATTTCATAAATTCTTATTAATTTAATTTCCTCCCAATGGCGAAGTACCACGAATCTTCGGTTACCACCGTTCACCTTCGTAATTAACAGTCATTGAAAAAACAAAAAAAAGCAAAAAAAAAGCAGCGGTCATGTCAGTTTCTGGCCGTTCTGATCTCCGTAATCTCCGGTCTGCAGGGGAAAAAAAAAAAGGTGAGAAATCCCAGCTGGTGACGCCTTACAGACACCATGGGAGTCCTTTCTTTGACTGAATTCTTGCGTGATTGCGGTCAGATACATGCAGAACTTGCAGCCATTGTGTGCAGACACACCCAGAGCTTTCTAATTTAGGCATGTGCTCTAAGGCTTGAAGCATGCTATCATCACACTTGGACTGTATATGACTGTATTTACGGTTCGCGCTTGGTGTATCTGACTGCAATTACGGCAAGAGGGAAGTCCGAAAAAAGTGCTGGGTAGTTTGAGTATGCCCTCAGTCCTGAGAGCTCTGCAGCTAAGAGAGGGTAAATTTAATATTCAAAATACAATTTTTTTATATTTGTTTTTATCTTTTTTTGGAAAGTTGAGGCTTTGCATTCAAAGATTAAAAATACAAATTTAATGACAAGCGCAGTTGGTAAACCTATGAGCTGTTGATGAAATACGGTCGTGTCGACTTATACGTTCATTTAAAAAAAAAAAAAAAAAAAAAAAAARRAWCGTGAGTTCGAATCTGGATGAAACAGGATTAATGTTTTTTTTTTTTTTCCCCCTTGGGTTAATGAAATTTTAATTCACTCACAAGAAGAAGTTTGGCATGATACATATTCATGGGCAGGAGGCTGGAGAAGGTCGTACTCACACTAGCGCTTTCCGGTCGGTATTTCTGCGCAATTATGGCCAGATTCAATCACGACAGCTCAAGTCTGACGGCATACTCATTCAAAATAAAAATGCATAGGGTGCCACGATTCGGCAGGGCAAGACTGTAGGAACCAGAGCGGAAAG